AAAAAAAAAGAAAGAAAGAAAAGAAATGTAGAGCTTTAAATGCTTATATAGAAAATAAGAAACACTTAAAATCAATAATCTAAGTTTCCACATGGAGAAACTAGAAAAAGAGAAAGTTAAAACAAAAATAAGTGAAAGAAAGGAAATTAAAAAGATAAGAGTTGAAAGCAAGGAAGTAGAAACTAGAGAAACAGTAGTGAAGATCAATGAAACCAAAAGCTAATTCTTTGAAAGGATCAATAAAATTGAGTAGTCTTCTAGTAAGACTGATTAAGAAGAAAAAAAAAAAGAAAAAGAAAAAACCAATAATATCAATGAAAGAGGGGACATTCATATAGATCTTACAGATATTAAAAGGGTAATAAGGGGAGATTATGAACAACTTACCCTAGTAAATTCAACAACTTGGACATCATCTAAAATGGAATTTTTGAAATTGCCACAACTGACTCAGAAAGAAGTAGAAAACCTGATAGCCTTATATGTACTAAAGAAACAGAAATTGTAATTAAAAACCTTCCCCCCCAAACCAAAACTAAACAAAAAACTCCAATCCCTCATGGCTTTACAGGCAAATTCTACCAACCATTTAAGGAGGAAAGAAATAATATCAATCCTACAAACTATTTCAGAAAGTGGAGTAGGAGAGAACACTTACCAACTCATCTTGTGTGTGACCCTCTGACACATCAACTTGGGAGTGGACTTACTAGAACATAACATATTTAATTTTGCTAAATTCTGTCAGATTGCTCCCCAGAATAGCTACACCATATACCCACTCACCAACTGTGCATTAGGATTGATTTCCACTATCTCAACATTTGGTATGGGAGAGGCAATAAAATACTGTAGAGATAGTGGATTCTGGAAACAAATGCCTGGGTCCAAAAACTGGCTCTACCATTTTCTGACTGTGTGACCTTGGATGATTTACTGAATCTGTGTCTGTTTCCTCATCTGCAAAATGGAATAATAATAGTATTTATTATAGATACGAGGGCTTTGTAGGCAATGGTGGATGAAACTGGCACTTTTTTTTTTCTACTTCGGACATTTTCCCATTTATCCTATCAAATTAGACTGTAAAGTTGCAAAAATAAGTGAGTTTCCAGTGAGCTATAGAGCACTAGTCAATGAGATTTTTGGTCTTTGGATTATTAGTGTATGTAGTGTGCAGAGCAGGATCACAAATTTCTTCACAAATTTGTGTGTGGGTCTTTGGATTATTAGTGTATGTAGTGTGCAGAGCAGGATCACAAATTTCTTCACAAATTTCTTCACAAATTTGTGTGTGTAGTCTATGGCCATACCACCCTGAACGCGCCCGATCTCGTCTGATCTCGGAAGCTAAGCAGGGTCGGGCCTGGTTAGTACTTGGATGGGAGACAAATTTGTGTGTGTAAATAAAATTTAGCTCCTTTCTCAATTACTGATCTTTCTCACAAATTTCACTCCTATCCTCCACTCCACTGGAGAGAGGAAGATGCTAGAAAAATATTTAATCTCTATATTTTTATTCTTTGACATAAATGCTCAGAATTTCAAATTTCTCCCATTCCACATTTGCTCGTCTCTAAAATGACATCTGGGTATAGAAGGGAGGCCTTACATGACATTTTGATGTCAGAAGGAAGGGGTCCCCTGATTTATTGGTTCTGGGATGTGCACAAGTTGGAATCCTCTGGGTATGGTTGGCCTGGTTCTATCCCTGGGCATTTGGCCAACATTTGCTTGTGGTCTTGTCTTTTATCGCTGTCAGGGCCTGTGCCCTCCCCGACAATTTGGCCTTCTATCAACAACTCTCTTTGCTGCTGCACACCCCAGGGATTCTCTGCCTCATACTCCTTTGGGCCTAAAGGCACTCTCCTCGGTATCCACACATATAGGGATCAAGAGACATCTCTTCCCAACCATGCCATTCTGCCCTCTTAATGCGCTAGGGACCACAGTGAGTCCATGCTGCAGAACAGTTTCCATCTAGAGTCCTAGCAAGGAAAAGGCAAAAGCCTCTTTGCCCTCGGTACCTCCATCTAATTTATTTACGGCTCCTTCCTCCTCCGAGAGTTCTAAGTCCCAGAGCAAGTTGGTTATGTCATATTCCTTCCTCTCATCTACTCCTTCCTCTATCCCCGTCCATTAGGATGGGAAGAGACATATTTCTTCCCTTTGTCCAGTGTCTTATTTCTTCCTTCCTCTCATTGTTTTGGACTTTCACTTCCTAAGGGGATTTTATCTAGTAGAACTTAATGTGAAATTGTCAAATCTGGAACATTTTTACATGGCAGTCATTGTATTTAGGCTATACTAGTATACGGTATGCATTTTATAATCTCTTATTGACAAAATTTAATAACTTGGCTGCGCATGTTCAAGACTGAATGTCAGACTGGAGAATGGTGTCAATTTTTAGAAAATATTCTATACTAACCAATTTCAGATGGTTTTAAAGATACCTCACTATTGCTCTCTGCTCCCAGTGGAGGATTAATAGTACTGATGGTAAACAAGGACAGAGGGTTCATTTATCCAAAAGGACTTTTTTTTTTCTTTGTGGTGGCCAGTATGGGGATCCAAAAATAAAAGGACTTTTTTTAATACTCTGATAACCTCCTCTTCTAAAGGAACAGCCACACCCCTTATTGACCATGGAAAAGAAAAGGGAAGGGTTTCTGAGGAAATTGGGAGCATTTGCCTCTCTGCTCCGCCTTTCCTTAAAGGACATCACTTGCACCATGGTCACAGGTGAGTTACTGTTTGTGAAATGGCTGTGAAGAGTGATGCTCAATATACTCTTCTGTTCACATTTCCTCCCATCATGTAGCTGGTACCTAGCCATACAGTGAGAGAGCAAATTGTACCTAGCAAGTTTTGGTGCTTGGGGACAAGGAGAGAAGCTCATGTAAACCATACTCCAACCTTGCCCTGGGGTATCATGCAGTCACACAACCAATAATAAACGAACATATCACAGCATAACTCTTCGTTCCTTACCTCCGACCTGTCGCCCCCTACAATTTCCCATCTCAGTTAATGACACCATGATCCACTCAGTTGCTCAAGCCTAAAATCTAGTAGTCATTCTAGATTTTTCCTCTTCTCTCATTCTCCACATTCCGTCCATCAGTTCTGTTGGCTTTACCTCCAGGTTATTTCTTAAATCTGTCAATTCTCCATCTCCACTGTTATGACCCTAATCCAAGCTCCATCATCTCTTACTTTAATTACTTCAGTTGGATCCAGATAGATCTTCTTGCTTGTTACTCTGGCTTTTCTACCATCCACCCACCACAGAACAGCCAGGGTGACCTCTGAAAAATGCAAGTTAGATCATGTCATCTAACTTGTAGTAGTAGGTGTCATCCCACCTACTACTCTTCAATAGATTATATGTTTTATTTCACAGCTGGCCAGTATGGGGATCCGAAATTTGACGTTGGTGCTACAACATTGCTCTAACCAACTGAGCTAATCAGCCAGCCCTCTTCAATAGATTCTCATTATGCTTTTGAAAACTACAAGGTCATTACCATGACCATGCGATCTACCTACTCGATCCCTTTCCATCATTTTGGATTACTCTGCCCCTCACTCACTACATGTTCTGCTCTTTGAACAATCCCAGGTTGTTCCTACCTCCAGACGTTTGCACCTACTGAGGCCTCTACCTGAATCTTTTTTCAGATTCTCAAATAGCTCACTCTCAGATATTCAGGAAGCCTTCCCTGATCACATAAACTATATTAACTGCTCCCCCTAGTCACTGTATAACACATCAGCCTATTCTGTTTTATTTATAGCACTTCAAAATTATTAAAATTATTTATATGTTGTTGGGCCGGCCCGGTGGCGCACTGGATAGTGCGCCGCTTGGGAAGTGTGGCGGCGCTCCCGCCCGAGGGTTCGGATCCCACGTACAGACCGGTTCCTGCTTTTTATTTATAGCACTTCAAAATTATTAAAATTATTTATATGTTGTTGGGCTGGCCCGGTGGCGCACTGGATAGTGCGCCGCTTGGGAAGTGTGGCGGCGCTCCCGCCCGAGGGTTCGGATCCCACGTACAGACCGGTTCCTGCTTTTTATTTATAGCACTTCAAAATTATTAAAATTATTTATATGTTGTTGGGCTGGCCCGGTGGCGCACTGGATAGTGCGCCGCTTGGGAAGTGTGGCGGCGCTCCCGCCCGAGGGTTCGGATCCCACGTACAGACCGGTTCCTGCTCCGGCAACGGATCGCAACCCTCAGTGTTGCCCCCGTACCGGACCGGGGACCGGCAACGGGATCGCAACCCTCAGTGTTGCGCCCGCACCACGCTCAGCCAGTGAGCGGGAACCGGTCTCCACATGGGATCCGAACCCTTGGCGGGAGCGCCGCCACACTCCCAAGCGGCGCACTCTCCAGTGCACCACCTGGCTGACCCTATATGTTGATCTTTTATTGTCTGTCATCCTACATCAGAACAACCTCATCAATGCCTGGAAGAGCACCTGGTTTGGAGAAGCACTCAATAAATAATTGAATGAACACAGGGCCTTCTGTCTTATTTGGCTTTTGCTTTTTATGTGTATTCTCATTCAGAGAATCCATCATAAGGGAGGAGTGAATGGCAGAGCAGGATTGGGGCATTTCCCCATAACACCACTAAATGCCTTAAGAAATCATTTTGAGTTCTAATGTTTTCCCTTCAAAAATATCCCTTGTAGATTTAGCACAAGTGCTGACACCACAGTAAACACTTGGGCAAGGGATTCCTGATTCTTTGTGTCAGGCTTTGTGGGGTTTGCCTAGCTCCTTAGATACGTGACTGACACCAGGCCCCTCTCCCGAAGTGTATCCACACTCTCTCCTCTCCAGGTGCCAGGCACTGCCCTCTTCTACCTTCAGTGTGAATAATTCTACTCTTTCCTCAGTTGTGCACACTGTGCTTTCCCCTCAGTGTGTCACATTCTGCCTTCTTGGTGTGCACACACCCTATTTTCTTTCCAAATCTTGGAAATCTTTCATGGAATCACTCTAACTTTATTTTGGCGGAGGGTTCAGGGCAGGGGTGGGCTGCACACATGGACTCTCCGTTGGACACAGGTGGCGGGGCTGAGCTTCGTGGGCAGGGGCAGGTGCATCAGGATGTTCCTGCTGTGCAGCTTAGTGGTGCCAAGGGGCCCTGCCATGTACACGGGACAGGAGTACACAGCTAGGCCGGCTGGGGGTGGCAGGTCAGTGGCACCCGGGGCTTGTGCGCTGACGCTGACCGGAGGCAGAGGGCTGGGCTGACTGGAAGGACTGTCTTGCAAGGCCCCAGCTATCGGGTCCCACTCGGCGTTCAGGAGCTGTAGCCCGATCAGCAGCAGCCCCATCTCTGGAACCGCGGGATTTGGACCATTCTCCACCTAGGGGAGCCAGAAGCTCGACAGATAAGGCTAGGGAGGAGGGCGCGGGGAGGTCGTGGGGGAGCGGAATGGAGAAGGGAGTAGGATAACTGAGGGGCAAGATCCATAGAAACCAAGAAGGGGTGACCTCGAGGTGCAATATCAGGGACTGTGAGGGGGCGGAATCCGGAACGAAGGGGCGGCGTGCAGATACCCGGAGGTGCAGAGGGTTGTTGTTCAGCTCCCGACGTTTATGCGGTAGCTGAATGGAGCCGCAGCCTCGGCTACCGGGGAGATTCGGGCTGGTCACATAATGGCCCAGGGAAGCCTCCCAACGCAGTGCCAGCAGCAGGCGGCGCGGGTGGCTGAAGGCAGACAGGTGAAAGACGCGCTCTGGTACTTCAGCGTCTGCGCCCACGGCCAGGTAGCGAACCAACAGCTGCCCACGGCGCGACAGTTGTCGCAGCCAGTGCCAGGGGGGCTGCGGACCTGCGGGAGAATGGGGTCGCCAAGGCGGGGGTAGGCGGCCAGTCCAGAGCGCTTGGGCCACCGCGGCGCAGCGCCGGGAGGCGCACGGGGGTGCGCCCTTTAGCTGCTGCAACTGGCAGTCAAGGTCGTGCTGGAGCATGCCCACCAGCTGGCTCAGTTCCAGAGCCTCCGTTTCTAGGAAGCACTCCAGAGGCCGCCGCGCATTCGGCCCCAGCACCGCCCATGGGGCTCCAGATTCGCGGCGAGCAGGGTGGGTCAGCAGAGCCTGCAGTGACTCCAGCCTCCGCTTGGCTTGCACTAGGCGTTGCCGCAGCCGCCGTTCACCGCGCCGGGCGCCCCCGCGAGCCGCAGGCAGCCATGTGCAGGAACACAGCTGCAGCGCGCTCAGGAGAGCGCGACTCTGGCGTCGCAACAGCCAGGCCTGGGGGCCCTCACTCAGTCCGCAGACCCTGGGTTCAGATGGTGTGGACAATAGGTGCATCTGGGCCTTGCAATCTGCCATGGCATCCAGCTCCCCTATTTCTTGGGGATGGAGGTGAGGGGTTAGAGACAAGATGGACTCTCCCCATTCCCAGACCCGAAGCAGCAGACCTTCCTCTGATCCTTTATGCCATCACCCCCAAAACCGTGTGAACATTGCCCCCTCATATACCTTTATTGGTACTTCTGTCCATATTCCTGTGGAGGTGGCATTGTACTATTCCCCACCTCAACACAGATTGGGGTTTACCTGGGTTGGGCATCAGAGTGGCCAACAGATACTGGGGTGTGTGTGGTTGGATCCGGCTCCCGCTGCTGGGGCTCAGGCAGGCTTGTGTGAGGCTAATCACAACCTCTCTGTCCTCAGTGTCCCCCACAGGACCTCCATAGAAAACTGAAACTAAGGATGAGGTCAGAGGTCCTCAGTTCCAGCCCCTCCAGTTTCCACCACCCCCAAAGTCAAAGTTGTGAATTATGTCTCAGTCTCAATACTCCCACCTCCCTTTACCAGGCTCTCCTGGGGGCTGATGACTGCATGGGGGACAGGAAGGGTCTCACCAGCCAGCTCCTGCATGGCAGCACTGGGATTGCTGAGGCTGGCCCACAGCTGATCTTGGGCCTGAAGGACCTGGGTCAGGGTCACTTGACTCCTGGGGGAGGGGAACAAAAAGTAGGGTTTCTAATATCATTGGTATGCTGAGGACTCTCAAATCTGATCTCCAGCCCAAACTTCTCCCTGAGCTCCAGGATCATGAGGACTCACTAGTCATTTCCGTTTGGCACCTCAAATACAACTTACTTTCAACTGAAATTATCATTTTCCCCCATAAAACCTGTTCTACTTCCTATCCCAGTGAGAGGTACCACCAGCCAACCAATTGTCTAAGGCAGAAATCTGGGAGTCATCCCTGGGAGTCAGCTCCTTCTTCCTCACTTCATATTTATTCTCTATCCCTACTGCGACTATCACCCTCGTCCCTACCATCCATACCACAAGCTCCTCCCTGGAGACTGCCAGAGACTCCTAAAACTGTTCTGCTTGCCTCCAGTCCTGCCTCCTCTTATCCATTCTCCACACTGCAGCCAGAATCATGTTTCTTCTCCTACTTGAAACCCTTCAGTGGCTTCCCACAGTTCTCAGGATAAAATCAGGCTCCTGCCATGGTCTTAAAGGCCCTTTGCCATGAGCCTCACCTCTTCCTACTCAACCCCAACATGTCTACCTCAGTCACACTGCCGTCTTCTCCCTTTTTGCTGAGCTTGATTCCTGCTGCTCAGAAAGGCCCCATCTCCATTTGCCTCTGCTTTTGAGATTCAATTCAAGTGAGCCTTCCTTGACTTTCCCTTGCCCTCACTCTTTGTAGTTCTCAAAGATAAATTATTTTTACTCATCCCAGCATGCAGAACATACTCAGTGTTTGCTGAGTGACTAAGTGACTTGGCAGGATGGGTGGGGTCCCTCACCAGCACCCCCTGTGTGCCTGCAGCTTCATTCCATAGAGTTGCCGGTGGAGCAGGAGGCCATGTAGGAGGAGCAGAGGCACTGCCTGGGTGGGGGGTTGCACGTAGTGTCCTTGCTGGGATAGCTCCACACTGTCGATCAAGACGTGGCTGAGCTCCAGAGACTGGTCCCAGAAGACAGGCATGCAGTGCTGAGTCAGCACAGCTGGTGAGGAAGGGAAGTGCTGAGTCAGTGCGGCACAGTTGCTCTCACCCTTCCAATTTGAGAGTCTGTACAGAAATGCTCCTCACCTGGCAAGGAAGCACTAGCCTCTGCAGACACAATAAGCCAAAGACGGAAATCTCTGTGGACAGTAGCCACATTCCTTCTTTCAGGTTGGGCTAAAAGCAGCTCCAATTCCAGGTCCGAGACCACTAGGGTCAGACATGGGACTGAGATCAGTACTCAGGTAAAGGGTCAGACGTAAGCCTAGGACCAGACTTGAGGCTGGAGCATCAGGAGTCAGACACAAGGCCAAGGGGACAGGCTTGGAGCTACGGGATCAGCCATGAGGGATGAGAGCTCAAACTCCGGCCCAAAAGTAGGGTAGGATCCCGGAAGCCATCTCTAGGCAGCAAACCCACCCTTGGCTCTGTCCAATAGCCCCAGCAAGGGCTGTAGCAGCTCTCTTGGCCAATGGGGCATCAGATGACAGTTATCCAGCACCAACCAGTGCCCCTTATACATAGCTTGGTATAGAGCGCTGACCACAGCTGAGACAGGGTCCCAGGCTCCGGAGCCCAGGGCTATCACCTGCAGATGCTTCTGCCCCTGAGGACCAACAGAAAGATGGCAGAGTGACTCAAAGTGATCCTGGGGTGACCCAGGAGACCCCGAGTACTGTCACAATGATCCAAAAGTCCCTAAGTAATCCAGAAAGATCCATGAGAATGCTGGGAGGGGGCCCCCATGCCCCATCCCAGCCCACAGAAGCTCAGTCACTCTGTGGCCAAGAGATTAGGTTCAAACCTGCTCATGCTTGGCAGCCAGTTTCTGGATGACAGTCAGGGGATGCAGGGTGGCTGTGAGGTGGCCAGACGATGGCAACAAGATCAGTATGGGCTGAGTAGCCTGACTATGTTCAAAGGGCATGGTGGGGGCACCCACGTTTTCATCCAGGGGCCGGCCCAGGAGGCTGGTGGTGAAGTCTGCCAGGGCACTTGCTAGGCGCTCAGGTCGCAGCACACGCCACAGGATCAGCTTCTGGAGGAGGCTGAGTGGCTCAGGACCAGGCCCGGGTGCAGGACCCAGCACTGTGGATGACAATGACAGGTAAACCTGCCAAACACTGGAGTGACCTGCAAGGGATGCACGCAGCCCAACAAATGAGGGAAGCAGCTCTAACATCCCACATTCATGCCAGGCTCTTGGCCCTACCCAGGCCGGTCGAGTCACACCTGGGACTGGCTTGCTGCACCCTATGCTGGGAGAGGCTGCCAGTCCAGGCCAGAATGCCAGCCTCTCCAGCTCTGATGCCTTCCCCGTCACTTGCAGCAGAGCCAAAGCACCCAATGCACCCACCAAGGGTACTTGGGTCAGGCCTAGTGCAGCCACCGTGCTGCCCAGCAGCTGGCGGGTCAGGTGTGTTCTCATCTGCAGCAGATGGCTGGCTAGATCACCCCCATGTGGAATGTCATGTGCCTTAATGTTGTCCAGAGCTTGCCTGGTGGCTGCCAGCCAATTCTCTGGGCTCGTACGGAAGAATGGCAGCAGGTTCTGCAGTGGGATTAGGGCCTTTACCATGGCCATTCCATGCCAAACAACACGCCGATAGGGTGCCCACAGTACTGCCTCCTCGAGCTTCTGCTCTTCTAGCTCCTCGCGGTGGACACGTTGCTGACATAGCTCTGCCTGGACCCTCACCACGTTCCGAAAAAACTTGGCTGGTTTCTGACTCTTTGGGTTCTGGATCAGCAAAGTTGTCAGCATTCGTTCCTGTATGCAGTCATTTGTTGGATGGTTCTGGCCCTTTCCCACAGTCCCCAAACATCTACAGTCATCTCTACACCCGTATTCAGGCCCCTCCAATGCTCATCTCAACATATAAACTGGGCCCCCAAGCACCTCAGCAGCCTCCACAGCTTTGCAGGCATCCAGAGCTCTGATCTTTAGGTCCTGCCAGTGGGCCTCGAGCTCGGGACGCTCTCTGCACAAGATTTCATGCAGCATCTGTTCTTCTAGTATTTCCATGTTCAGGCCCAGATCCAGAACATTCAGGCCCTTCATCAGTTCACAACCTAGGACTTAGGGTCATAGGGGAGATATTTAGTCCCTTCCCCTTGGCAGAGCCAGGGGTGGGGTGGGCAGGGAGCATGGCTCCTTGCAACAGTCCTGGGGCTGCTCTGGGCCAGGTTGAGCAAAGCCCTCTGGGGGCTGGTCCTGGGGGGCTAGTGTGTCCACAAAGCTGTGCTGGCAACTTACCCTCTGAGCCTCACCTTTTTCCAAGGCATAGAGGGGGAGGGTTGTACTCAAATAGAGACAGAAGCCAGGCTGCACCTGGGGTGGACCCAGCTGCTCCCGCTGCAGCAGCCATTGCAGTTCTTGGCACCCTAAGCCCAGCTCCATGTTGGTCAGTAGCACGGGCAGGCCTGTGAGGGGAAGGAAAGTACACCCTACCCACAATGCCAATGCCAGAATCCCTATGTCCACCCCCTCACCCCACCCCACCCACATGCATAAGATCTGGCTTTGACCAGCTCTCCCCTGGCTGATCAGAGGGTTCCCTCAAGACTCTTCAACATAGTTAGTGTCCAGAATGAAGGATGGGAGCTGAGGTCAGACTGAAGTGTGAGAGGCCTATGGGATCACAGAATGGGAGGAGGACAAAAGGGGGACATGGTGGGCAGGAACCAGTACTCACCACCAGTGGCTGCCTCCCGGAGCTGAGCACCCAGCTCTGGGTCAGCACCTGAGAGCACGCTAAGGTAGGCAAGAGGCGGAGACTGAATCTCAGAGGCTGACTTTGATCCCCGACTCTCTGTCTCCTTCTCCTCCTCTTTCTCTTCTTCTTCCTCGTCTTCTTTCTCCTCTTGCTCTTGCTCTTTCTCCTCCTCATTTTCCCTTTCCTCTGCTTTCTGCTCTTTTGTCTGGCCCTTAGCCTCATTATTGTCTTCACAATCACCGTCTTCCTCTACCAGGTTCTCCTCTTTACTCTCTCTCTTTTGGTTTCCCACAAGGCTCTTCCCTGGGGCAGAAAGATGCAAAGGAACTCTTTTTAGGGGAGGGATAGACTCCTGGGGAGCACGATTCACCCAAGGGCTCCACTTCGTCAGGGAAGGTCTGCAGGAAGACACCTTAGGAAAGTTGCTTAAGCTCTCTATGACTTTATGTCCTTATTTACAAAATTCAGTTGATGTTGGTGATAACCTCATAGGGTTATTGTGAAGATTAAATGAAATAATACATAGAAAACACTTAGGCTGGCACTCAACAGATGCTGGCTCTCATTATTATTAGTCTAAAATTCCAGGAAGGGGTTCTAGTCCTTTGTGAAATTGGCTCCGCTTTTGCCCTTTCCATAGATTAAAAGAGTCAATGCATTTTCCTTTTTTGACTAAGCTAATTTTGTCACTAACAACTAAAAGAGCCCTCACTAGTATAAAAATCAGTGCCTGGAAGCAGTGACTTGTAAGAGAAAGGCCATGAACTGTGAAACTATCCAGGTCATAGGCGGTGTGGTGGACACAGATGGTTGGCTAACCAGCAGCCATTCCTACACCCTTCTCCCTTGCCTCCTCTACTGAAGGAGCTGAAAAAGATAAATACTTGTTTTTTTCCAGGTTCTCTTGCAAGTGAAGGTTTCCAAGTCCCAGTTTGGAGCATTAATTTTCTATTGCTAACAAATTGCCACAAATTTAGCAGCTTGAAACAACACCTATTGATTATCTCACAGTTCTGTAAGATAAGTCCAGCACAGCATGGCTGGATTCTCCACTCAGGGTTACACTAGGCTAAAATCAAGGCATCAGCTGGGGCTGCAGTTCTCTTCCAGGCTTCCTGGTTTTTGACAGAATTCATTTCCTTCTCACACTTGCCCTGTAGCCCCCTCCATCTTCAAGCCAGCAAAGGTTCATTGAATCCTTGTGTTTCAAATCTCTCTGACTGCCTTTTCTTTGCTCCTTTCTGTTTTGAAGGGCTCATTTGATTATATTGGGTCCACTCAATAATCTAAGATAATATCTCCATATTAAAGTTAATTGATTAGTAACCTTAATTACATCAGCAAAGTATTTCTTGCCACGTAACATAACTTAATCACAAGAGTAACACCAGAAGGCAAAGGTTGTGTGGACTAAAATTCTGCCTACCACATTTGGCTATTCAGACTTCCATAACATCTTTTGCTTTCCTGACAAAAGGGACAGAAATGGCCAGCAGCAACTCTGACATGATGCTTGGAAGGGTAGCTGATATCTGGCAACTATGATGTACGTATTAGTTTCCCATAACAAATTACCATAGACTTATTGGCTTATAACAACAAAAGCTTATTCTCTCATAGTTCTGCAGGCCAGAAGTCTGAAATCAAGGTTTCAGCACGGCTGCACTCCCTCCAGAGGCTGTAAGGGAGAATCCTTCCTTGCTCCTTCCAACTTCTGGTGGTTCTAGGTATTTCTCGGCTTGCAGTTGTATGACTCCAATATTTGCCTCCATCTTCATATGGCCTTCTCCTCTGTGTATCTACCTCTTGTCTTCTGTCTCTTATAAGGACACTTGTCATAGGATTTAGGGCCTACCCAGGTAATGATCAGGATGCTCTCATTTCAAGGTCCTTAATTACATCTGCAAAGATCCTTTTTCCAAATAAGTTCACATTTTTTTCACCAACTCAACCCCCAACCTCTTCTTCTAGGAAATAAACACACTCTCCTCCTTTTCTCCTAGAAAATGCTCCTTCCAATACTCCACCCATATCGGACACTGATCCAAACAGAGTCAAGAGAAATATTCTCCCAGAATTTCTGAACATTGGATAAATTTGGGTAGTAAAGCTCTGAGTTGCAGGCCAAGTTTCCCATAGTGCTGGGAAGACCAGGGAAGTATGTAGATTCAGAACCATTGTAATATGGGGGGGGGGGGGGGAAGAAAAAGAAAAAGTAAATATGACCATATTTATAAATATAGTAATATAGTATAGGTTGGTGAGATCTGGGATATCCTGGGCACAAAAATTCAGTGTCTGCATTATGAAAGGGAAGACCACATGAGGCTGAGTGTTGGGCAGTTCAGACACCCCAGCAGCATTGTGTTATTGTGTTTATTACCCCTGGCCTTACCTCTTCCCTCAGTAGGAGCTGGCACCAAGCATCTATTCTCTTCCAGAGGCAGTGGGTTCAGCCAGATGAGGGCCTGGTTGCTGGGATCAAGCAGCAGAGGCCAACGGCAACTGCAGTAGTGGGTGCGGCTTCGCAGAAGCAGGCCTGCCAGGCGGGCTGACTTTGCCTGGGGCTTCAGGTCTCGGTCCCACTGGTACTGTTCAGATCCAGAGCTCAGCAAGGACAGAATACTGAAGGGAGAGCGTGTGGGTAATAGGGGGTTGTTTGGTGGCATGATGACAGATTTCTGTTTTTGTTTCAGTGCCTGTGCCACATCATCTGGGCCCAGGGCCTCCTGAGAGCCCCCACACAAAGCAAGCCATTTGTCCAGTAGCTCCTGGCGCCGCAATGGTGGGAAGGGACCCAGGTAGATGATGGCAGCTGAACACAGGAGGGCATCTCCGAACACAGTCATGCAGTGCTCCTTCAACTTCTGGTGTGGAAGGGAAGACCAAAGGGTGTGTAGGCCAGAGAGGAGGGTGCAGGCAGAGAGCATGGCAGAGGGGGAGCAACACAGGGTATGGAGGAGAGCATGGAAAGGAGGGTGAAGAGGGACAGAAGGAGGCAGGGAGGGCACAGGGAAGAGCGGGGATAGGGAGCATGAAATGAACTATAGGGAAGACATCTTGGAGGGGACCAGTTACCTGCAGCTGTACAGTCCAGGAGTGCATGGGCATGAGCAGGGCAGCTTTTATTGGCCATTTGTGATACTGGCTACACTGTGCCTGATTGAGGGTCTTCATCAGACGGCACTGGGAAGCTAGGGCCTCCTCCAGCTTCTTAGCCAGGGCCAAAGTATGCTCTAGGATCTCCTGGGCCTGAAACTGGTAGTGGCCCAGGCGGGCCTGCTCCTGAGCCAGTGTTGCTTCCACCTGTCGCAGCAGTAGGCCCGTGGGCAGTCTCCGACGCTGTGCCAGCCCATAGCGCAGAACGGCCCACAGCCAGACTGCCAGGCTTGCAGCAGGTATGCTTACTGCCCGCAGGGCTGCATCGCTCATACCTGGAGCCTTCAGAGCTAGGTTTAAGCTTATCAGCTCTGAGTCCGTCATCTTCTCTTTGGGGAAGAACACCAGCTCCTAGGAGGATGAGTATTAGGGGGATGGGGGAAGACAAGGATGCTTTGGGACTTGACCCAACAGTTTAGCTCTGCCAAGTCTCCCCTTTATGCCCTGTCACTCCTTCATTGTGCCCCACCTTCCCTACCTGATAAAAGTCCTCACTGCATAACAGCTGCTTGGCACTGGCCCAGCCTGTTTCATGGTGGAAGAGGTTACACAGTGCATCAGTCACCCGGACCACAGATTCTGGTGGTGCTCGATAGCTTCGTATCTCTTCAAAGTCAGCCACCTGCAGCTGGCTCAGAGGCCCCAGAAATGCCTTGCCCATCTAAATAAGAAGAGATGCACTCTGAAGTGAGCTCCTGAGATGTTCTGGTCTTTCTTCAAGGTGTTTCCAGGAGGGACCATCTTCTCCTAGGAGTTCCTATGAAAGGCCAGTCCCCAAACATCCCATTACCTTTGTCCCCTCCCCCAGAAGACTCTATGATAAGTCACCCCATCATCTCCTCTCCTCTGGTCATCCTATGAGAGGATGTCCTCTCCCAAGAGAGGAACAATGCAGGGCAGGTGGCAGGAAGAGCCCACCTGCTCCAGGAAAGCCTCATGCTGAGCCTGCAAGGCATCTTGCTGCTTGGCCAGGTTCTTAATGAGGTTCTCCTGATGTTGACATTCTGCCAGCTTCTGCTTGTGCAGGAGCTTGCTTTGCTCTAGCTGCTGCTGAAGTATGCTGAGGCTCTGTGAACAAAGACCCAAGGTGTGCAGCTCCAGATCCTGGGCCATTCGGGAACACCCCTGGGGAAGGCCCCATGGGCTTGGGACCACAGCACACTCCTCACTTGATAGAGTGATCAAGTTTAACTTCAAGTAGGCTACAGATAGTCTGAGTGTGTCACTTATTGGAGTGTGATTTCTACATCTGTGAATGCAGCCTCAAGTGGGTGGTTGCTTTCCCTGTCGCTACTTCACCACACAGGCCCAGCCAATCTGAATCCGAAGCCTGTGTGCATAACCATTATGCTAAACCTCTTATCTTAGTAGACCTATTAGCAGCCGTTGACACAGAAGACGGTTCCCGACCTCTTGAAGCATTCTCCTCTCTTGGCCTTCATGACACTGTGCTCTCCTTGGGCTTTCTCCAGCTTCTCTGCCTGCTCTTTCTCAGTCTCTTCCTCTGCCATACCTTAACTACTTCTCAGCAATTTTTTCAGGACCCACTTCTTACCCTACACTTCTACACATCCTTCCTAATCTCATGGCTTTGATTACCACTTATATTCTAACAACTGCCAAATCTCTCTCTCCAACCAAGGTCTCTCCCAAGCCCACACCATGTATCCATCTGCTTAGTGGAAATCTTCTCTTGGATGTCTCATACGCCCTCCCAGACTCCACCTGCCCCCAAACGAATGTATTGGTTATGCCTCCTCAGCTCCCCTGAAATCTTTTAATTTTTTTTTTTTTTTTTTTTGGTCGCTAGCCAGTATGGGGATCTTGACCTTGGTATTATAACACTGTGCTCCAACCACCTGAGCTAACCGGCCAGGCCTCCCCTGCCATCTTATTCCTCTTTTTGTGTGTTCTTTTTCTCAGAGAACTGTGGAAAAATACACTCAAATTTCCCAAGGAAGAAACCTAGTTGTTACCCTTTTCTTCTGTTGCCCCAAACCCAGCTCATCTTCAAAGCCTTTCAATCCTACCTCTTAAATGTCTCTCATGTCCACTCCCATCCCCAACACTCATCACTCACGTTCAGGTTTTCTCACTCCTGGCCTTCTGCACTGGCTTCCTAACTGGTCTCTCAGTTTCTACTCTTATTTCCCCTCCTCTAATCCATTCCCTGTGCTGTAGCTTGATTGGTTTTCTAAAAACCAAATCTCACCATCATCCTGTCTCCTAACACTTGTCACTCCTACATTTGGTTGACAATGCCTTTGTGACCAGGCCCCAACTTCATCTCTTTTCTCTCTTCCAGCACTCTACTCTCCAGCCATTTCTGACTTTCAGGGCTTTTTGTTTGTTTGTTTTAATTTTTCTTTTCTTTTTCTGCTGTATGATCCCTGACTTTCAGTTCCCCCAGTGTGACACACATTCTCTTGCCTCTGGGACTTTGAACATGGTGTTACTTCAGCCTTGGGACATTCTCCCTCCGAGTCCCCTTCTATACCTAACCAAATCCTATCTAACCTTCAGGCATCAACTTTGATGTACTTAGTTCATTTGTTTACATATTTAAAGAATGTTTTTGAGTCTTTTACCACATTCTACACATGATCTCTATTACATGTTGGGACACTATATTTTCTCTAGAAAGCTTTTCTTGATGCTTCAGAGTCTGGACTTTCTCTGTCATATACAGTGGTTTGTAATTGCCTGGATGAGTCTATATCCTCCAGTAAACTTCAGACACCATGAAGGCAAGGATAGTGTCTTATCTCCTCTTATTATGATGCAATCTTACCTAATATTAACAGTAACTAACATTTATTGAGCTCTTGCTATGTGCCAGCACTTTTAAATGCTTTATATGTAAGATCTCGTTTAACTCTCATCACAATCTTATGAGGTTAGAGAAGTCTTCCTAACCTCTCTAGATCTGTTTTCTCATCTGTAAAATCAGTAAAGAACAGCCACCTCAGAAAGTCGCGGCAAGGATTCTATCTTCTATCTATCTATCTATCTATCTATCTATCTATCTATCTATCTATCTATCTATCTATATCTATCTATCTATCTATCTATCTATCTATCTATCTATATTAAACGTACATGTAGACATAGGCACATAGATATAAATATTAATGATTGCCTAGATAAAAAAATATAGAGTTCAGTTAATTTTTTTGAGTACAGTAATGAATAAATGAACCAATTGAACATGAGAGAGGAAAGAGATGAAGGGGCCCAGACTGACTCCTGGGATTTGGCTTAAATGATTAAGAGGATAGTGGTTTCATTTCCTAGGGTGGGGAGCATTGGAAGAAATGCATACTATTACAGCTGTTGAATGAACAATCAAGGAATCTGATTCTGAATAACCCCTGAGATAATGAATGTCTCTTTTCCAGACCTTGGGCTTATCATATTGTGCTCTAATATAAGTGACCCACAAATCAAGGAATAGTAGCACCCCTAAACTAGATCAACAATTCCTGGTATTAATTATCTTGGGGAAAGGTAGGGCCCAAAACAAGAAACTGGAATTTGGAAAACATGGGGAAGGGGACTCCCTCTGAGTTTCTTTTCTTTCTTTTGCAACTCAACTGAGTCTTGAGGTTTAATCTAAGCTGGTCATCTTAGGTAGTGGAGAGTAGAAGGGCACCAGTACTTTGAGAACTCCAGGGGGCAACCTGTACATAGAACACAATGAAAACCATGTAGGTGGACACAACATAAACCATGTCTCTGGAGTTGTGCAACACTGGGTGACAGTCCTGTGGGCACCTATCAGAGTGCTAGACATTAAAAGCTTGAGGCCTGAAAGCCTAGTAAAAAATAAGTCAGAATATCCAGTTGTGAATTGGGCACTAGTTCACTTCTCTCTAGTTATCCCTGAAACTTTATCAACATCTTGTGTAGGAATTCATCTTATTAAAAACAAAACAAAGTAAAACTTCTCTTTAGTTTGGGAAAACTTTTTTTTTTTTTTTTAAAGATGACCGGTGAGGGGATCTTAACCCTTGCCTTGGTGTTGTCAGCACCACGCTCACACAGTGAGCTAACTGGCCATCCCTATATGGGATCCGAACCTGTGGCCTTGGTGTTATCAGCACCGCACTCTCCCGAGTGAGCCACGGGCCGGCCCTTGGGAAAACTATTTTAACTGGGAGTATTTGGCTATAGAAAGTGTAATGACTTTCACCCCCACCAGTTTTAGCCAAATATTAGAGATATGTTGATTCAAAGAGGATTGCTTTATATAAGGAAGCAAAAAGTTTGGACTAGACAAAAAAACCTCTTATTACATGAGAACTGTATTTGGGGAGCTCTAAAGGAAAAATAGGATGGCTGAATAACATTGTGGAACAGCTGTTGGGGAGATAGAATGGTAAAGGAAAAGTTGGTCACTGGGAAATATACGAGGAGGGTGACTAAAGAAATTCAGGACATGGATGTCTAGTCTACCACTTACATCTTTCTGGTTCTGTGCTATAATGTAAATGTCCCCCTACTGTCACCACCCACCTACATTTCCTCATTGTACACAACAGCCTTGTATATTTGGTGCTTTTGTGGAAGAAAGAGGTACAGGGACAAAGCAGTCTTGGGATGCTGGTGAGACAAGAACTGAGGTTTACTCTGGTTGGTTCCTCCTAAATCCCTTTGGGACTCCTGTTTTGACATCACTAAGTAAGCTTTACAATCTTCTCCTCCTTACTTTGTGGGATTCTTTCAGTTGTTGTTCCAAATTGAAGACCAGGCTGGTATGTATATCGTGCTCCTCAATCAGCATTTTCAGATTCCCCAGGGCATTCTGGATCCTGGAGATACAATGTGCCAGTGAATGGACCCAAGGGAGCAGAGGAGGTCCACTGCAGGGAATGGGGCCACTCACCGCTGGGCCTTGTTCTTTATCTGCAGTGTCATCTGTTGCTGCTGTAGCAGAAAGGTATCCAGGAAGTCTAGGAAGGTCTTGGGGGTGACAAGTGGCAACACAGGGCATAGGTGTTCATGGTAGTAGGCAGCCGAAAGGTGGATAAGAGCCATAGCTTTGGCCACACTGGGAATCGAGGTCTGGAGATCTGGGCACTTCAAGGAGCCTGTAATGGGCATGGCTTTAGCCTGGTCTTGTGAGCTTTTGGGGGAACAGGAAAGGAAAGAAACCCTCTCCTAGTTTGAGAAGAAGAGCACAAAAGGTGAAGGGGGCTCAGTAGGCTCTAGAGAAAGAGAGACTGATCTAGGTAATAACCTTCATTAGAACCTGGTTGAAATGAGTGGTGATGACAGGTAAAAAAGACTCACCATCTTCAAGGAATAGACTCTGCGCACCATCCAGGTGGTGCTGGGCCACTTTGACCAGGTCGGCTTGGTCCCAAGGTTCATAGCGGTCAATGCTGGCAGTGGCCAGTTGAAGAAGTCTCAGGAAAAGGGTGGAGGGAAGCTGCTTCTGGGCCTGGTCATCTCCAATCAGGAAGAACATGTGCAGGTGGCTGCACACTTGCTGGTAGAACCTGTGGGTCAGGGGCTTAGCTGCTGTATTCTCTTTACCCATTTGCTCATCCAAGCTCCAATCACCATGCTAACCCCTTAGCGCTGATCTTCTGAGCCCTCACAGCAGCCCACAGATGGCCTTTTGGCCAGGAAAGAGTAAGAGCAGATCAGACTCGGGAATGGGGTTCTTGACCTCACCTCTGCAACACTTCCTTCTTGATGTTCTGTTTGACACCAAGGTTCTCCCTGGGGATATGTTCTTCAATGCTGTCCAGATCTGCTTCTGTATACTGGTCAGGGAAACTGCCTGAAGTTGCCAGGGCTAGCAGGCGATGAAGGGTAGTGAGATCCACATCCTTGGGCACCAGAAGGGCCACTGGCTGGCTTAAAATGCCAGCATGCCAGCTGGCATCTCGTAGACACTGAAGGATGGCCTCCTCTGACCCAGACGGCAGATGGAAGAGGCGGACCTGACAAATGCTAGTGGCCAGAGTGATGGCAGTGTGGCGTGCTGTACCCACAGTCCCTGAGAGCAGTAGACCATGCTGCCGGGGCCTGGCCAGCACCCGGACCAGGCGGGCCACATGCTGAGCCATGGAGTGGCACCGGGCAAGGTTGGGGCTCAGTCCCAGCTGAGAAGCTGAGGTAGCCAGCTGCTCCTCCAGGCTCTCCCACTGCTGTTCCAGGTACAAGTTGGGGCTCTCAAAGTCGGACTCCAGTATGAGCTCCTGACTGAACACCAGGTCTGAGGGCTTTTCCTGGGGATGGAGTAGTAGCACTGATAGCAACAGGGGTGAGACCAGGTCCATCTGGAGTACCTTGCTCTTGGATAATCTCTTTACCTGGAGCTTGTAGGTGGAAGGACTTGTGCCTTCCTCCTTTCTCATGTGACTTATGCTTTTCATTGTCTCCCTGCTTACTGGCCTTATGGACGATGATAGACTCGGATTACTGGAGTATGAGCCTGTGGTGACCTGAAGGCCATAAGGGTCCTCTTCCTCCTCTGTCTCACTGTTGCTGTTGTTTGAGTCCTCCCACTGGGCCAACTCCCCTTCGGATTCCACTTCAGGCACTCTCTCCTTCTCTTCCTCCTCTTCATGGTCCTTGCCTAGGTGCTGGGGCCCTGACCCACAGCAGAAGACCCTCTGAGCTACTTCTAGGAGAAGATTGGCACAGTAGGAGCGTTCCCTAGGGCTGTCCAGCCGGTCACAAAAGGTTCTTTGTGCCTCATGCAACCAAAGACGCACCATGTTGCGCATGGCCATCATAACAGTCAGGCGAGTGCCACACAAGCCCGACACTCGGCGCAAGTGTTCCTGGTGGTTGGGACAGTCCACAAAACCTTGGGAGCCCATTCTGGTGGGCAGTAGCTGCAGGCTGCCAAGTAGGTGGCTCACAGAGTGCAGGGAGAAGCGGTAGTGTGGGCGGAGGGGTGAAGGCATGAAGCAGTTGCACACAGCCTCCCAGGCTTCCACTGAGGCCTGGACCAGGGCTCTTGCCAGAACACCCTCCCGCTCCACAGATGGGAAGCGCTCAAGCCAGGCCTGGATGCCAGGTGCATGCCTGCTCAGTAGGGTGGCCTCGGTCATGCTGTCCAGGGCCAGCACTGTGAAGAGTCGAAAGAGGCGTGGGCACAGTGGGCGCTCACAGCAGCCTGGTACTGTGGCAGTGGCAAGGAAGTTGACTATAGGCTGCAGTGTCTGCAGTTCTAAGGTGCTGTGGGCATACACGGTGCCATCTATGGCCTGGCGCAGAGTCTCCAACACTGGCTGGCAGCTCTTCTCTGGGTCTGTGGGACATGAAGAATAACAATGAGGACACGTGTGAGACCACATGAGAGTGTCACCCTGTTCCTCCTATTCCTGCCTCTTGGGACTGCTTCTGGCACATGTAGGGTTCTAAAGGAATTTTGCGCATCTGATGTGTTGGGACTTGGCCACATCTGAGTAAGTTGTTCACTCTCCCCCACACGATCCCTAAAATTGAGTAATTTCTTTTCTCTTCTCCCGCAGGTCCTACCTCTATGATCAACTATTCATTCACTGAAGGTTAATGAATAGTAAGATTTGAAAACTGAGATGGATGGACACCTGATCTGATCACAATTAGGGGGAAAGTGCAATCACTTCAGTCAAAGAGACTGGAGTTGTATCACGTGTACACTTGTTAAAAATCAACTTTATTAAGAAGTTTTACATAAAATAAAAAGTACATATTTTAAGTGTATAGTTCAATGGATGTTGACAAATGTATACAGCTGTGTAACCACCACCCCAGTGATATTTAGAACATTTTCATCATCCAGAAAGTTCCCTCAGGCATCTTTATAGTCAATCCCCCTACCTGATTTCTATCACCATTGGTTAGCTTGGCCTGTTCTAGAACTTCATATAAATGGAATCACATGGTATATATTTGATTGTGTTTGTCTTCTTTCACTCAGCAATGTTTTTGAGATTACATCCATGTTTTTATGTGTATCAGTAGTTTGTTCCATTTTACTCCTGAGTAGTATTTGTTTTGAGAACACCCAACTAAATTGGGGTTCCAGTACCAGAGCAGCTAGCAGCCCTGCCCTAACAGGAGATGAAGGGGAGCCAGATGTGGGTGTTTACAGTGTGCCTTTCAAGGGATACTTCTTTTACCCAGCAGACCACCTAATGTTGATCCATGACCAAGGGGTCCCTCACACAAGAAACTTGTTTACACTGACAGATGCCCTTGTGGCTCTTGTCTGACCCGTGTCCAGTTTATGCCTGCCTGACCATCACTCTGGTGCTGGGAGCCCGACCTTGTGTTCCCCCAGTGTGTGGTTCTTCAGATGGAAGGCACAAATTTAACACACAACCACAATAGGAAACAAGTTCAAAGATTTGTATTTATAAATCCTCGGCAAGGAGAGCATAAAGGGTCTGGAGGGCAGTCTTCTGTCCCTGGGTCATGCAAGGAAGGAATAAAGAATCAGGCAGAGAGAGAAAAGCACATGGCAACTAGCAGTACAAAAAAGGGAATGGGGGCGGGCCACTTTAAGTTCTTGGGCAAATGCCTGAATGGTCTGTTTAAAGGAAGCTGCTGGAAGGGAAAGCAGGGAGCTCAGTCTGCTAAGTAGAAATACCAGCTGGAACCATTTGGGGGTGCTGTAGAACTGGAAATGTGTTAAGCGTAAAAGTTCTGGGATGAGAAAGTCAAACTTGTATTTAAAATGGATGCTGAGGACACATAAAATTATAAGAATTCACTACAGTATTCCATTGTGGAAATACCACAATTTTTAGATCCATTGACACATTAATGGGCATTTAAGTTGTTTCTAGGTTTTGGCTATTCAGAATAATACTGCTGTGAACATTCATGTATAAGTTTCTTCGAGGACATGTGTATTCATTTTAATTGGGTGAAGGCCTAAGAATGGAATTTGTGGGTCATATGTAAGTATCTATTTAATCTAGTAAGAAACTGGCACATTTTCCTTCATAGTGTTTGTACCATTTTACACTCTCACCAGCAAAATGTGAGAGTTTCAGTTGCTCCACATCTTCGAAAACACTTGTTATTGTCAGTCTTTCTAATTATAATCTTTCTAGTGGTGTGAGGTGCTATCATGTGGTAGTTTTAATTTGAAGTTCACTGATGCCTAATAACATCAAGCAGCTTTCCACGTGCTACTGACCACTTACATATCTTTTGTGAAGTGTCTATTCAAGTCTTTTATCCATTTAAAACAATTGAGATGATGCTTGTTTTCTTATTGAGTTGTAAGAGCTTTTTGTGTATTCTGTGTACAAGTCCTTTGTCAGATACGTGTATCATGCATATTTTCTGTCTGTGGCTTATTTTTTTTTGTTTTCTTAACTGTGTCTTTGGAAGGGAACAGGGTTTAATTTTAATTTTTGTGGCCTAAGAAATCATTGCATAACCAAGGTCACACAGATTTTTCTCCAACATTGTTTTCTAAAAGTTTTTATAGTTTTAGCTTTTAGGTCTGTGATCAATTAATAACTGATTTTTATATATGTTGTGAGGTAGGACTCTTTGTTCATTTTTTTCTCCATGCATATAGCCAGTTGTTCCAGCATCATTCTTTGAAAAGACTATTTTTCCCCCATTGAATTATCTTGGCACATTGGTTGAAAACCAACTGACTGTATATCAGATTCTCTATTCTATTCCATTCGTTTATATCTATGTCCTTATACCAGTACCACATTCTCTTGATTACCATAGCTGTTTAGTAAGTCTTAAAAGCACTAGTGTAAGTGTTCCAACTTTGTTATTTTTTTTTTTTTCAAAGTTGTCTTAGCTCTTCTAGGTCTTTTGCATTTCCATGTAAATTTCAGAATGGGTCTGTCAATTTCTTTTTTTTCTTTTTCTTTCTTTCTTTTCTTTTCTTTTTTTTTTTTTTTGTGGCTGACTGGTCTGGGGATCCAAACCCTTGACCTTTATTACACCATGATCCAACAACTGAGCTAACCAGCCAGCCCTAGCCTGTCAACTTTGACCAAAAAAAAAAAAAAAAACTTGTTCAGATTTAGATTGAGATGACGTTGAATTTACAGATCAATTTGTGGAGAAAGAACATCTTAATGGTTTTTATCCTTGAGTTTGTTGATGTGATATATCACATTTATTGACTAAGATCAACAAAAGAGAGAAAGTAGGTTTTTCAGGAATATAAATAAAATAGACAAACCAGTAGCTAGGTTAACAAAAAAAGGAGAGAAGACCCAAATAACGAAAATCAGAAATGAAAAGGGAGACATTACAACTGATACCACAGAAATACAAAGAATCATTAGAGACTATTATAAACAACTGTATGACAACAAATATGAAATCCTGGAAGATACGAATACGTTTCTGGACACATACGAACTACCCAGACTGAACCAAGAAGAGACAGAAAACCCAAACAGACCAATAACAAGCAATGAGATTGAAGCAGTAATCAGCAATCTTCCAACTAAGAAAAACCAGGGTCTGGATGGCTTTACAGATGAATTCTATCAAACCTTTAAAGAGGAATTAATACCAATTCTCCTCAAACTATTCCAAAAATTTAAACAGAAGCCACTCTCCTGACCTCATTCTATGAGGCCAACATAACCTGATACCAAAACCAGATAAGGACAGAAGAAGAGAAAATTACAGGCCAATATCCTTGATGAACATAGATGCAAAAATCCTCAACAAAATATTAGCAATCAAAGTACAGCAACACATTAAAAAAGCTATATATCATGATCAAGTAGGATTCATCCTAGGGATGCAAAGATGGTTCGACAATCATGTTATATGCCAATATAGATGGTTCTCTTTTCCAATTTTATGGGGTTTTATTTCCTTTTCTTAGAGCACTGACATGGCTCTTCAATACAATATTGAATGAAGCAGTGAGAATGTACATTCTTGCCTTTTGACTGATCTTGGAGGGAAAGTGTTGAATATTTCACCATTAAGTATGTAGTTAGCTGTTGATTTTAATAGAGGCCCTTCATCAAATTGAGAAAATTTCCTTCTGTTCCTAGTGAGCTGTGAAGTGTTGAATTTTGTCAAATGCTTTTTCTTTATCTGTTGAGATTATCTTTTCTCTCCTTTATTGTTAATGTCACAAATTACACTGATTTTTGAATATTGAGCCAATTTTGATTTCTCAGGATAAACTTCATCTGGTCATAATGTGGGTTATTTTTATATGTTGCTGAATTTCACTTAATAATATTTCATTGAGAATTTATTTTTGCATTTATATTTATGAAAGATAATAGTCTATAATTAATTTTCTTGAAGTGTCTTTGTCAGGGCTTGGTATTAGGATTACGGTAACCACATAAAAATGACCTGGGAAATGTTTACTCTTCCATTTTCTGAAAAAGTACTTGCACATATCACTTTTTTTTTCAAATATAGTATATAATTCAACTGTGTAACCATCTGGGACTGCGGACTTTTATTATGAATTCAAAATTTTAATAGATATTGGGCTATTCATTTTCTATTTTTTTTCTTCTTGAGTCAGGCTTTGAGTTGTGTTTTGCAAGGTATCTATCCATTTCATCTAAGTTACTAAATTTATTAGCATAAAGTTTTTCACAATATTCCCTTGTTATTCTTTTGTAATATCTTTAATAAGACCTCTTTCTTTTCTGATAGTGAAGATGTATGTTTTCTTTTTTATTTCTTGATTTCTGTTACTTGGAGATTGTCAATTTTATTTATCTTTTTCTAAAAACCAAATTATAGCTTTGTTAATGTTCTCTATTTGTGTGTTTTTCTACTTCGTTGATTTCTGCTCTGATCTTTATGATTTATTTCCTTCTAATTGCTTTGGGTTATATCTTGCTCTTCTTTCACTAGATTTTTTTTTTTTTTTGGCAGGGGG